GGCCAATCGTAATTCGGAATGCGTGGCTCCATTCCAAATCGGTTCATTTTTCAAATTCTTTCTCTCTTTTTAGCTCTGGAAATAGTGTGAAATGCCGTTTTAGCCGCAGTATAATTTTTCATAGTAAGAAAAACAACGAATAAACGTCAGGCAGTCTATCGCAATTCCGATTTTCGGTTTCCGCCTATTGCTCGCTAGCCAACATCTGGTTCCCGTTTTTGCATTGTTGAAGAGGTCTTATCTTATTTTACCGTAACCACATCCATTTTTGGCCTTTATTTCGCTTATCGGTATTCTGCTGCCCATTTCAATACCCCGTACCGTTGTGGTTCATTTCAGGCTCGAAGCATCGAATGATCGTGCATTTCTCCTGCCAAGTTCACAGTGCCTATTGTGCATTCCACGACGACTACATGTTTGCTTTCAAGACGAAATTCGCTCCCGTCTGGTTACACTTGATGTTTCTACAGGTGAGTCTACTCTGAGCAATCTATAGCATTTTTCTGTGTCTCCCTCATAATTTGCAGCTTTACATCCATACTCAACCTTAAAGGCAGGGGATACGATAAACTGCAGGTCGAAGAAAGGATAGAAACACTATAAAGGCGTCATGGACCGAAATATGGCGCTCTCACACGAAGCGGGCACCCGCTACGACGTACCAAGGGTTTTATCTGTCCTTCTGGACGCCCTGATGTATCTGCCCGCCCTGCGATTGACTACCCCAGCTGCTGATCCCTCGCCGTCGGACTCTAGCCGTTTCGGCAGAGACGCAGAGCAGAACATCATGTTGATGACGTCAGCATCGACAAGCTCACAAAATCCGGTTATCAATGGGAAAACAAGGGGCTCATTTGAGGGTTTCGGGCCGTTTCTCCTGAATTTTTTTTACTGCTGCACCCCTTAGCAGCTCTTCTTTTCTACCATTGTATTGCACAATCTGCCTTTAGCAGCAAAGAACTTGGCTTGATCTGAAACTTGTTATTCGCACCTTTATAATTATTCAAGTTCCCCCGGGGTTTTTGAACAGCAGCATAGCGGTATCTTTTAATTAGCACGCCAAAGAAAAGTCAAGGTCTCAGATTTCGTGACAAGTTCGGACACTTTTCTTACCGATCAGGTTATTATGGCCACGCTCCTTTGCTCGAGCGGCGCTTTCCGCACGCTTGCTGCAATAGTTCCAATTCATCGATCCGGGCCTCATGAATCTTTTAACTGCTCATTCTCCTTCAGATGCAATCGACGTCGATCGAAAGTGGCTGCGGTGTGGTGTCGCAGTCATCGGCCTCGTTTCTGACGTTGGCTCGATGCTGGGAGTGCCTTCCGGCGCGAATCACGAAAGAACGAGCTTTTGTCACTCTGGTCACGAGCGCCTTTCCGACAGTAAAGGTTGGTGAGGTTGCTGCTTTCATGGACAAAAGTGGTCAGCGTAGAGCTTTTTAGGAACAAGACAAATTGTACAAGGAATTGGAAGAAGCCTCATTTTTTGATTGCTTCTCTCTGGACGGACCATCGAATCGATGGAGTTGTTTCAGCTGCTCTCATCCTGAACGAGTGAAGTAAGTGTCATCTGTGATCATAAGCGAGAATTAGGTCGCTAACGTAGTTGGGAGGGGAGGGGGCGGAGTTACCGCACGGCACGCCTGCTCGCTCTCAGCGAGATAGTGTTAACTAGACCCCAACTTTCCACTCATGTCAATTCGCTCGTTCCACACCCTATCCCCCTCCCACTCTCCAGTCCGCCTATATTCCCCTGGATCGCAGATTTCTCGTTTTGCACTAAAACTGCTATCATCACGCTGAATGGGCGCAGAGTACCGCCCCCCCCCCCTCCCCCAACTGCACTAGCAACAGAATTAGCACGGGCTGGGTTTATAGTGTTCATTCCCCGCGGCCACACCTTCGCCGTAATTGCAGACTCAATAGCACAAGTGACGACAACCTTGAAAAAATCGGTCTCACGTGTCCTTTTTGATGCTCTTGAGCTATCTCATGTCATATGTGCTACTGATTCTGCAATTACGGAAGGTTCTGTTCCGGGAAACAAGTTGTAGATATAATCAATTGCAATTGATTAGCTAGCCTTGTGAAGTGACTGTGTTCATGAAGTCTTCCATTTTGATCTTTTTCCCACTGACCGAACTTTTCTTTCCGTTTCCCATTCTTTTTCTCACAGCTGACGGGTTTTGCCGATTTTCAGGTCATTTGTCGAAGACGGCGGTTCACAACGTGTCCTCGAAGGTCAACTGAAAGAGAAGAAAGGTCGATGGCGATTTTTACGGCGATGGCACACGAAATATTTCACGTTGTCCAGTGCAGCGCTCACATGCAGCTCAGAAGAAGCGGTTAGTTCGTTTTGG